CGCGTACTCGAGTCGAGTCGCGTTCGATCTAAGCGAGTTCTAATCGAGCGAACGAAACGGCGCGGCACCGATTGTTTGACAACACGCGCGATTGGAGGGGAGACGTATTTGGTTTGGCTTTCGGTTCGTCCTTTCGATTCGACGTCTCGCCAGTCGCGCAAACGTGTCGCAACGCTTATTACGTCGCTTCCATCGCTGGCCTCGTCGCTTCTTCCGGAAGTAGCGTAATACGTGCATCCACGTCGATTGCGTATATGCAACGAGCACGTGGGGAAATATCTATCTATGGTGTGCCTCGAGCGGAATGGCTCTCCTCTCCACTCTCGGTTGACGTCGCGATTCTGACGCTTCATCGCTTTTTCACGCGGCTTTCAAGGAACGGGATCGGGATTCCTGGGGCCCCGTGGAATCAAGGAAGATTTTCTAATAATAAGAAAAGGCTCGCCGGAGGGCATCGATCGACCGGCCAGGTCTCCACGAAAAGCCCAACGTCTTATTTAATTCATCGGCTCTCCGAGAGGCTTAACGCGATTAATCTTGGGTCATTTATGTAAACTCGATGGATAAGGTGGAGGGAGAAGAGGAGAGTGGAGATATCGAATCGGGAATAAGCTTCTCTAGGAGTTGGAACGGAGCGATGTTTTCTCTTGGTGGATTTCCTTTCGTGTAAATTGTAAAGTGTGCGAGAAACACGGTGTCATTTCACAGCGTACCAACGCTCGTGAATTCTTTATAGAGAAGTCTCAGAAGATGTATCCGGAGGCGAGGATTCGAGCTCGTTCCTTTAACCGTTTCCGCCAATATTTCATCTCGATCTCTCCTTCCTTCGTATTTCTTCAACGGATCGTGAGTGGCGCGGACAATTTTAATCCCTTGTAAATAGAATTTAACAACGGTGAAATTCAATTTAACGCGATTTTACCGATTTCACCTCGAAATTCCGGGATCCAACTGTTACCGGTATGTCTCGAATCGTGCGACCTAATCCCAACAATCCCAAATGGCGGCGTCTAATCCGGACTACCACTCACGTCTCGCCGACCTGAGACGGTATAACTTCTGAAATAGGGTTCGTACGCTACGACTACCACTCGCGTCGCCTCTTCGACAACCGCGTTAACAATCCCAAATCATTCTTTCATCTTCTCCTTATTCGATCTCGAAGATTATTAGCCCGCGAAACGAGACCTCTATATTTTCTCTTTCTCAATTCGAACAAGTAGCCGAAGATAAAAGAGTACACGTGTTCCTTGATCTTGCCCAGTATTCAAACAAGACTTTCATTAAAGTCTCCTTTCTTCCTTTGACCGAAGCCCTCTCCTTCCTTATATCTTTCGCTCTGATCGTCCATCATTCCGATCACTCTCCCGATGTTCCACGGATCGAACGGATCGCTCTTTATCAATCATTCCTAAAATCCTGGTTCCAAAATTTTATTAAACGATTTTATCCACGATTTTATCCTTTATGGAGGGGATTCCATTAGCGTATCCGTCCAATGGACACCGTTGTTCCCGAGGCAACGAAATACCGTTTCGAGCAAAAGGAACAAAAGGAACGGGTCGAGGGGAGATTACCTATATTCTTATCACGATTCCTCCCTCCTTCCTCGTGTCGTTTAAGGCGAGAAGGAAAGGAGAGGGGGAGCGCGGAGATAAAGAGAGGCAGGGCGGCCTTTGTCGAAGATCGACGGAACGGGGCCTTATTGAATTTACACCGGCTGCTATATACGCCGGAGATGTGCGACAAAAGATCTGGTATTTCGAATCGTACAAAGGGGCGTTACTTTCTTCTCGCCCCGGATGGAAACGCCGGATAATTAAGTCCGAGTTGTGGATGCGTGCATTTCTCGAAAAGCAAACACGCCGCGTTACAACTCGCCACCTATTACAACCATCCCGCGATCCAACGAATCGTCCATTACTCGCCTCCGTTGTACGATGTTTGTTTGCCGAGCCACGTCTCTCCAAATATTCGCTGTATCTCCGAATTGGATTCGATTAACTTCTTCGACTTCGAACGAGACGAGTTGTTTCGCGAGCTCCTTCGCTCCACGTGTTCGAATTAGAAACGCGAGTCGTAACTATATATATATATATATATAGTTTTTATTTCAAGTTCTGAGAAAAATAATAGTCGATAAATTTGTTACGCTCGTCCTCGTACGAAAGAAAAATAGGCGCGTGTCGCGATGTGTGTGCAATTAGTAGCGTCTCTTTTGTGCTTTTTTTATTTTTCCTTTAAATTACGCGTACACCTTACGTAACAGAAAATGAAGTAAGGAAAGAAACGGGATAAAAACGATGTACTGTAAATTGGAAACGTTCGTAATTGGATAACGCAAATAATCAAGATGTTATTTTTATACGCGATACAGATACTTCACAAGCAAGCGAGTTTACATTCTAAAAAATTTTTAGAAAAATTTCAGTTTCAAATTTCAAAGTAGTGCAATTTATTGTTCGCCTATAAATTCTCCGTTCACGGTTCATACCTTCATAAACGTTTGGAAAGGGCGACGACAATTTCCCCCCGTTCCAATTTTCAATTAGCGTAATTTGTCAACCCCAAAGGTGATTACGCTAATTTCGGTCAACGCTATACAAACGTTTAACTTACTCGTCCCAGGAGCCACGGCGAATAGTTGTTCCCTCTTTCGCAATTGTGTCACGTCCTCCTGCTATCCCCAAATACAATATCGACGATGACCATTCAAATGACCACCAACCCCTTTCGCATCTCCTCATACTTTTCCATTTTCCTTTCTATCTCTCTCCGATCAATTGCTCTTCGATCAAATCGATATTCAACGGAGAAAGAAGCGAATGGACGCGCGTTATTTTCCACCGCTATTCGGACCTTCGATAAAACGAGGAGGGAGGGGGAAATGGATCGCGACTGAGTCATCCTTCTCGCCTCGAAATTGATGACATCACGATTCCAAGTTGTTTGGTCGCGCCACGTGTATCGGCGGGATAGTTTTTCCGTTTAGAAGAGAATTTCCCCTTCCTAAACGACAAACGTTTACGATTCCGTGAGTCGACTCGCCGTATCTCTCTCTCTTTCTCTCTCTCTCTCGTTCGCCTCGAATCGAGGTATTCCTCGCGAAAGAAGTTAAAAGTTGCAAAAGTGGGTTTGGCATCACGCCATGCCGCGTCATCGCTAGTATCGTTGGAGTTTACCGGCTATCGCTACAGGTAAAACGTCCACCTGATTCGAAAACGTTTTCAATTATCGATTCGGTTTAGAAGCGAGCGTTTCATTCAGTGTTACACAGTGGCTCGAGATAGGTGGAAGACGAAGTGTTGGAACGGGTCGATTCTCGGTTTAATGAGATTTGACGGTATTTCTATATCTTTTTTTTATCTTTCTCCCATCTTTGAAGATCGTCAGAGGGAAATGTAAAAAAGATACGATAGGTCGTAATACGGAAGCGCATTGTGATGGCAGTAAATATGAAAAGTTGATAAAGTGATAAAAAAATGACCCGGTTTCAGTTCGAACGAGGGGAACAAGTTGTTGAGATTTTCACCGAGTTGCGTCGTTGCATTATTTCCCATCTGTTCCCATCTCTACACCGCAACGATTTTTACGTGACGCAGGGATCGAGAAAATATTATTGGTTCAGCCCATTTTTCAAACGTTACGGTGGAGAGGTTTGTTTTAACACGTGGAAACAATTTTCTCGGATTAATCGCGAATTATGTTACACATTGTGTATCATTGAACACGATACTGTCCAAACATTCGTGCTTTGGTCTCAAACAAATCGTGTTATGGGATCGGCAAGGTCTCGAGTCGGTATTGAGAATTTCAATGGAAAACAGGATCGTTATATTTTTATTAGAACGTATATTAGAAGCTCTCCAACTCTCTCGCCTCGATGTTTGTTGTTCCTTCGAAGAGTTATGGCTATTAAAATTATCAAATGTTTGTACACACGAGAGTACGCCCAATTATCGCGCAATTTTAGCGTCCCACTCGCTCGTTTCCCCTCCTTTCCCTCACTTTTTCTACCCACTTAGTTAGTTATCGCGCAAATCGAATCAATCGAATCTTTCATAAACCAAGTGTCGAGCATGTTTCGCTATTGAAATTTCTGTATTCGTAAAGTTTCTGGAGATGGTGCGAGCCTTCGATTCGAAACTTCCAATTTCCATATCGCGATATTTTCTCGAATATTCGCCGTTTATCCGTTCGAAGCTTAAACCTTAATCCTTCTTCAATCCTGTTCTATTCTAAGTCGATGCATAACGATAAATTTCCTGACCATTTTACACGCGGCTGAGTGGCAGACAACCAGGTGAAGAGTGATTGCCGCTGCTTTTTTCGCACTCTTGTTTCACACTCTTATTTCAGATACGCGCGGAGTAAGATGTGTACGAAAAATGTCGGATTTGAATTTGAGATATGGCTGGAGGGAATATTTCACGTGCAACCCCCGACCATTTTTACGTGACGTGTATAACGGATCGTGCATCCCTTTATTATTTCGCATCGGATGGAATTTATTTCGAAGATATATACGTATAGTTTCTCTTTTTTTTTTTTTCAGTTCGATAACTGTTCGAAATTGTGGAAAAATTGGATACAGAAGAATGTACGAAATTTTCGTGTAGAAAAAGAGACAAGGAATAGAAGGATTACAAATTTTCAAATCTTTATAAATAGATAGAATCCATTTCGTTAGAAGAATATAAAATTCAAAGTTGCATCCTTCCATCGAATCTTACTCGAATATTTCTTTAAAGATATAGACCTACTTGTTGACGAATTGCAAATTCTTCTGGCGAACTCGATAACTATATACATACAACGTGATATAAATAGACATGCAATTTATAGCAACGATGCCCGGTTGAAATTCAAGTGTGCGAGTAGGGATGGGCGAAGAGTCGTAAATAACCTTGTCATCGCATATTCCGTGCAACAATGCTATCGGCATCTTTTCAATAACGTATCTGTGACATTTGTGAAAAAATTGTGTTCTCTGTTCACAGGAAGTGCTGCACACGATCAGCGCGCCCAGCGGCCAAGTACAACGCATCGTTATTTTCAAGAAGAACGGCGTTCAAGCGATGGTGGAATATCCTTTTGCAATACGCGTCCTTGGTCCAATCCGATGAATCATTGCGCGTTTCGTCGTCAAGCTTGGCGAAGCGCGATAAAACGGGTTTAAAGCTCGAGAGGATCTCCGCTTTCGTGGCACACTTTCTTTCTTTCTTTCTTTCCTTTTTTTTTTAATCTAGAAAGGATCGTAGAGCGAAGTTTGTCGGTCACGTGCCAGCATTACAATACGATGAAGATTTATTGTAAGGAGAACTCGAGGGTTGGAACACGAGAACTCTTCCGGTAGTCGTGTCACTCGCTCTAATCCTTTGATACCTCGAGTCGAACCGAATTCGAGCAGCATATCGAATCTCGTTAAAGATTATCCTTGTTTTGGAAATCGATCTCAAGCGATATTAATATGGATCGAAAATTATATTTATATCGAATAATTATCATTCTCCGAAGATCTTTCGAATCATCATCCTTCGAAGATAACAATTTAAAATCGAAATTAAGAAATTGAGATTCGCGTTTGAAAGGTTGGAGATCCTCTTCCATAGATAGATGGAACATTTTCTCACGAAAATGTTTCGTTTTAGTGTCTGAACAAATATTTTTTCTTAACCGAATTGTTCGATGATCACGTTTGACTCGGTGGAATCGGCGACGAGAGCGAAGGAGACGCTTCACGGAGCGGACATATACTCCGGTTGCTGCACATTGAAGATCGATTTCGCCAAGGTGAGTGCCGTATAAAATCACCGTATAAAGAAAAATATTAATTCCCCGTCCCGTTTCTCGTGATATTCGCTCGCAGAAGCGGTTCTCCCTCGAAGATCAGGTTTATTAAGGGCACGTTGGACTATTTCACGGTGAAATGTAAATGAAAAGGGGCAAAAAAAAAGGAAGAAGAAGAAGAAGAAGAAAAAAAATAACCCTTTTCAGATTCACCGTTAATATTCATGAGAAAGAATCCGACTGAGAAATGCTTCCGCAAATAATGGAAACGTTCTAGATTCACGGTACCTTTACGTAACGGTGATAAAAGGGAGAGATACGGTGCACTTATGGTACCATAAAATTTCGAGGGAAATTTGCCGGTTTTTATTCATTTTAACGTGCTCGTTACATATTCCAATTATCCTCCGTACAACCTCCCCTCCCCCCCGCGTCGACGACATTCTTTTCAATATTTCATCCTAGTGTCTAATTAGCAAATCCGACAAATAGATCTCGAGAGCGTTATCATTCGCGTTTCTCGCCGCGGACGAGCTTAATGGAAACAGTATAACAGTATATCCGCATACTGTTATCCTTTCTTTATTATATCCATCTCTCGACCGACGAAGATATCGGGATCGAAACGGGATCCCGAGATAATTCATCGTGTAAAAATGTGAAAATGAAATGCTTTCCATCTCGTTAAATGCGCTTGAGAAAAAATTTATCATAAACGGGAAACACGTGTATAACAAATAATAAACGTAAATAACGTACATATTCGAATAATTTGTTGCACGAAAACAAAGATGATGTAACGAGACATCGAAACGTATTGACAGTCTACACCCACATTTTATATCAAATGCATATATCTATTTGTGAAAAGAGTCGCGTAATTCGTTTAAATAATAGTTCTAGACTTCTCTATTAAGTATACAGGAATATATATGTTAGTACACGATGAATCACTCCAATTTCATTACTCATTGTGCATATCTTTTTATACGATTCATTCAATTCAGTGAGAAAAATGATAGATTCGAGTTTATAGAGACGAAGAAAATAGCGAATTAAGAAATTATAATAGAGGGATAAATTATTTCCATTTAATCCTTGGCCCGTGCGTGTTGGCCGTAATTATTGCCGTAATTACAAATACCTCCCCTGTTGAAACAACGTTACGTCGCGCTTCCCTCTTACGGGTGTCCCTTCTATCGTGAAAAGGATCGCAGTGCAAACAGCGACTAGCTCTGCTCCGGAGAGAGTGAAAAGAAAATCACGCGCATTAACGTTAGGCCCGCGGCAATGAGGTCTTTCGTGTCGTTTGAAAGCAGGGGGTAAAAAGAGAGGGAGGGAGAAAAAAACGAAAGAAAGAAGGAAAGAAAGAAAGAGCGATTCCAGAGGAGACGAGATGCGAGCATGAAAGCCGCTCGCTCGCTCGCTCGCTCGCTCGCTCGTTCTCGCCTAACGAGTGATATTTTTTTTTTTTCTTCTTTGTTCGAATCGATCGAACACCCCTTTTCTCTCTATCGCATTCTTTCGACGTATCTCATTTATCATTCGTCACATCTTTTCTTTTTTAACTGGAGGGGAAATTAATAGTTGTTTTTCTAACGCGACGCGTTTAACGTTTCGAACAGCGTGTATTTTTCTATGCATTTTATTCGTTCGTTTCGTTCGCAATACGACACATGCTATATTGCCATATCCCTTTCGATTAACTTCCTTCGTCCAAACTTAGGAAAATACACGGCGTATTATTCTCTATATTTTCTAAGCAACGGGGTTTCGTTTCTGTACACAGTCCGTTATATCGATAATTATCGATAATTGCTCATTCCTCGCGTCGCTTTTTTAATAGTTAAATAGCAGGGTAATCTCTTCCGCTGTCCAAGAGAATGTACACAATGTACGCACGAGATTTCGCTCGCATGCCTTCGTGATTCACGAGGAATAACCTTTCGGCGTGCATTCTCGAATCGTGTTCGATGATTTCTCGCCATCCTGGCATCGAACCTCTCTCTCGTCTCTCTTCCAATATATCATCCTCGCACTGTCATATGATTCATCCGCGTTGCGCGTATTTCGCACTTACACAACGTCTCCTCGAGCACACGCGCATATTTGGCAGATCTTTCCATTGGCAATAGTTGCATAAAGGGGTGGGATCGGTGGGCCGCGCAAGCCCCGCCTCGAAATCCAATTTTGAACTTTGGGCCGTGGCTTCTAGGCTCTATTTTCATTATAGGCGAACCGCCGTTTTGGCAAATATCTTGCGTTGGCCAGAAAGGAACGTTCCCTTTTTAACGCTTAAGTGTCCCCGCAATCGGATTTCGTCGATCGGATACGATCGGATAAATCGCGCGGAACGCCGGTTTCGCATGCGTCGAGTTTAATAAAGGTCCGCGTAACGTTGAACGAGGGATTACGCGTCATACGCGGGATTAATTAATAAAGAGAAATTTCCTTTCGGGATCAGAACCGATCGATCGATCGAACGAACCCAGACACGCGAGATTTATATTTAATTCAATGCCTCGGTTAAATGGCAAAACGTATGAATGCATGTGTCGGAAACCGCGTATCCGTTACGGGATACTTAATCTGTTTCTCGATATATCGATATATCGCGATAAACTAGCGGTTTGCAGTTTGTTGCACGATTAAGTCTTGCCGAAAAATTCAACCAATTTTCACGATGACACTTAACCGTTTGAAAGAAAATATATTTAAGAAATTGTTATTTATTCGAGAATTTTTCTTCTTCTTCTTCTTCTTCTTCGAGAGAGAGAGAGAACGCGCGATATTTTATTTCAAACAATTTTCACGCGTTTCCTTGTTGTTCAATAAATATTTCCGAATGGATATCAGTGTAACTACTGTGTCATTTAATAAATTCGTCCTCTACAAGTTAAATTGTGAAATATCGCGAAAACTTTCGAACTGAAAAAAAAAAAAGAAAAAAAAAAAAAAATCCACAATTTTTCGAGCGAAACCCACGCGAGAGCGGAAAGAGGGATAGAAACATATCGGCCGATAAATTTTTCGAGGGCGAAAATTTAGTAAAAAAAAAAAAAAAAAAATCTATCGTTTTTTCGCTCGGATCTCGCAAATTCGGGTCCCTCCCCCTCGTAACGACGATCCTCTTTCGAACCGTCGATTATCGATAATGATACGCGATACGACGATGGATACAATCGTTTGCATTCGATAAATTTACACGCTCGCCTCCGCGAAGCTGAACGATAAGCGGACACGTAGCAACGCTTTGTCAATCTGTCACCGCTTCTTGCGATATTTTCCTCGAATGAAGTTGCTGCCCGCCCAACGATACACACACACATATGCGTATCACCTGCGTCGTTTCGATCGTATAAATACATCATTCTCTCTATTCCGTCTCTTTTCTGGTCTCGTCGACCAAGCTTTATATAAATTTTCGCTAAGAACGGCGGGAGAGAGAAAGGGGGGGGGGGGATTAAAAGGATGAAAAATCACCGCGATAACCAGCTCGATTACTTTGATAATCGGTACTCCTCGTGAAAAACGGGCGTGCAAAGTAGCCAATCTCCAAGTTTCTCGAAAGGCAATTACGGGAAATTTCATGCGAAACGAGCCACTCGATGGATCCGGGGAGAGGGAGGAGAATTCGTGGACGAGATTTTTTTTTCCCCCCCCTCCGTTGCTTGTTAGCTCGATCGAGGAGGGGGAAGGGCGAGGGGAGAGCTCGTCGTGTATCGAAACTTTATAACGAAACGCAATTGTTGGCGGCGGCCATTTTGCCGGATTAGGTTTAAGAGTAGGGAGAATTTGGTGGTAGTCGGAACAACTCGATTGGTGGATCGAGCACTCGATAAATAAAGGATTTGGACCGGGATCTCGAGTCGAATACAACTCCCATTCCCGTTCCCCGATTTATAGAGGCATAGAGTTGCTTTTGTTTCCGTATTTACGCTCGCGTTACTCGTTATATACAAACGTTATATTTTTATTCCGTAACTAAGGGAACGAATCCTCTCGATTGAAAGGTAGTACGAAATAACGAAATTTGTTTGTTCTTACCTGTTGTTCTGCCCTCGTGGGTTCGCCTCGTTTTATTCACCCCGAAAGGGGTTTACGCGAGTACACCCTTCTCTCCAACCAATCCAAGAGTCTTTCCAAGAGGAAGCGCGTTTCTGGACGCAGCTCTCTCCCATATCTATCGATTTCGCGTCGTCTATCGTCGTTTAACGTGTTAGTTGTGCAACCACGTTATTATAAACATTCGGTCCTCGCCGATAACCGAATCCCTCGCGTCGTTCTTCTCCATTTTGGCAGCCGCGTAGCCAATGATCGGGTTACCTCGGGTCCGGCCTAGCCTTCTCTAAAATTACACCTCACTTTGTACCCAATATTCGCATTAACCGAACGTTGACAATGAAAAACGATCTGGCAATTATTTCCTGCCCGTTTCCAACCGACGTTGCCTTCTCGTTGATCGTTTTATCGTTTTACCATTCCGACCACCCCTTCCTTTCGATCCTTATTGTTACCCGTAGAAAACACGAAAAACACTCTCTCTCTCTCTCTCTCTCTCTCTCTCTCTCTCTCTCTCTCTCTTGTGTCGTCCCGATACCGTCGCGCCGCTTGACGAGGGAAAATTAAGAGCGGCCGACCCGCTTGATTACCGGCTAATTAGAACGCGTTATCTGTGACGTTTTCGAAAACGGCGAGGAGGGGGCGAGTTCGCAGGCGAAAAAATTGTGAATATCAGGTGCGGGGCAACGTTTTGTTGGCCGATGGGCCGACCGTCGGCAGATTAAAAGGGACGCAAAGTAAACAGGAAATTAGTTTGGCATTCGACCGTGTATTCGATGTGTGTTTCGTTAGTCCGCTACCCCTTTTCTCTTTACCCTTTTTTTTTTTTTTTTTACACTTTTTTGCCTTGTTACTGTAACGTTACAGTGGATGCGCGCAAACATCGTAGTAAATTAGTGTTTCGAGTGTTGTATCATTGTTGGAGAAATTTATTAATGATC